CCTCCGCGTTCGGGCTCTCCTCCTCCTGGCACAGCGGAGGCTCACCGCAGGCCGCCGGCGCCAGCGCGGCCTCCAGCTCGTCCTTCGTGGGTGGCACAGGCTTTGTCTTCACAGTAGCAGCTTTACTGGGGGAATAGGTAGGGCAGGTGTTCTTCAGGCTTTTGTCCTGGGGCTGAACGTGCCTTGAAGGGGGAGAACACAGGACCTCCTTAAAACGCGGGGAAGGAAGCTGCCGAGTGAAAACCAACAAACCAAACCCACCCCACCAAGCCAATCCCCCACCTAAGAGGAGTTCACAGACTGTTTACCTGGAACGCAACATCCAAGCAGGCCCTGTCGAGAAAAACAAAACAAGAAAACACATTTGTAGCCCAACAAACCAACACTTTGCCAGTGCAAACAACCAAGTCCTCTCTCAGAGGGGAGAATAAGGATCCCTCTGCTGTCTGCTACCCCAAAGCATCCCCACATGCTGCAGAACAGCCAACACTCCTCCATATGCTCCAAGCCCAATCTCCTCCCACCTCCAAGCGCCACCACACCGAAGCCAACAGGCGAAGGCTGCTCAAGGAGCAGAGCCATGCCCCTCAGCCGCCGGCTCCCCTGGGCACGGCAGGAGCTGGGCGAGGAAGGTTTGGCTCTGCCCAGAACCCTGCAGGCAGCGCCCCGAGTCCTGCCCAGTGCAAAGCTGGAACGTACATCACTTCGAGGCCCTGTTCAAAACCCAGCAGCTGCCTGAGGCCTCCCGGTGTCAAGGAGGTACAATGATGTCTCAGAGGAACAGAGCAGCTCGCTGAAGCCCCCGGCATTGTCTCTCCCTGGGAAGATCTCCGGAGAACAGAGAACAGCGGTACCAGGGACGCAGCTGAGCTCCAGGCAGCTCAAAGCTTAACTTCCCAATCTCCATAACAATGGAGACTCATTCAGGCGTTTCAGACTGTCCCTAACGCTACCTTTTATTAGAGCTCAGGACTCGGTAAGTGCTCAGCCCAACGCTAAACAAAGCTGTACTTGACCTGGAGTCTACCAACTGATGTATTATGTCCTGCATTCATTTTTTTTGCAACTCTTCTGCTCCTTTTCAAACTATTTACCTCGGAAAATAATGTTGCTGAACTCGTGGGATGGATTGAAGACCAGATGTTCGGCCATTGTGTCACCCTCAGATGTTACAAAGAGACAGGAGGAACAGGACAGCTTTACACCACTGGAAAAAAGAAGGAGGGGGGGGGAAATACAGACGTGAGCTTGGTCTCACAGTATCGGGTATGAAATATGTACAACCTCTCATTAACAGTTAGATAAAAGATGTCACCCCCAGTGCATAGGTAGGGTCCCCACCCCAAAATATTAATGGGCAATGGAAGTCTCAATACATCACCCTTAACTGAACACATTTTCCATATTCAAAATAAACAGTGCTTTTTCAGAAGCAGACCGTGAGAGAACAGAACTGGAAGATGAGAAAGTGGAGACACATTAGGTTCCCAAGGGATTAAAAAACCCAAGATGACAGAGTTTTCCATTACCAGGCAGTATAGTTTTTAAACAAAGCCAAGTATTTTGGGCTCTTTCGAGGAACGTGGTTGCTGTAAGACAAGAGAGTTTATTATGAGCCAAAATTATTCCAGGTATTTCAAGAGCTACAAAACCACACAAAACATCCCACTTTACAAAGACAGACCAAATCCTGCTTTTAAGAATATTTTGTCTGCCAGTTTAGTATTCAAGGAAACAAAAACTCCGCCTCTAAACAAATACCTTATACAACACTTCAAAACTCCCCATTTTTGGGCTACCTACAGCCCACTGCAGTGAACTGGGAACCCCGATACAGCGTTCAGTGTTTTTTAGTGCTGTTTTGCAGCACTGCTGCACAGAGGCAGGAGGGATTTCTCCAGCAGGGTGGGAGGGTCACACGTACTTGATCATGTGGTTGGCGTAAGCGCGGGAGCAGCAAGTGCTGTAGCGACACAGCGAACAGTGCACGTAGGTGGGGAAGTGGTTTGGGAAGTCAGGGATTTCAAAGCTGCACTCCAGACAAGTCTGTCTGCCCAAGACGCTCCTGAAGGGAAGAGAGATGTTTTCCTGAGTGCCTCAACAGGTATCCTTGGAGTTACACCAATCATCAGGACACACAAGGATTTAATGACACATATGCTTTCAAAAAGCTGCAGTAAAACTAGTCTCATCCTGTACCCTGGCTTCCCAAGGTGCCAGGCTAAACACTCCCCACTTGCTGCAGTGTACAATTTAAGAGTGGACAATAGATTAAAAATAACACCCCTAAAACCAGAAAAGAAACCCCACGTTGAAGACAGGGGAACAGGACACAGGTGGGCACAAAGCCCTTAGGCTGCTGAAATAGCACTGCTGCTGTAAAAGCACCTCACTCTGTATTTCCCAGTTTCACCTTAAGGTCTTTCATAACATGACTTAATCCAGGTTTTGTGGGAAGATGGATTCTCCTGGCATATAAAGTTTCCTTGGCAACTGGTGAGACAGAGCTGCCCAGCGCCGAGGGTCGTCACCCGTCACTGGGGTGTTACAAAGCCAACTACATTGCCTTTAAAAACCAGCTTTTTAAATTTGAAATTTAGCAAAATGTTCTGACATTTTTTTGACCGCTCTCTTCTGGACGTTCCTCTGGACAGGTGGGTACAGGAAGATGGGCTGGGGGTCAGTAGATGACAGTGGAGTGGTCTCCTGCCCAGTGCCCTGCGGCATGTCATTGGAAGATACTGGCACTGTCCGTGGCTGTCCTCTAGATGCCCTGATTGTAACCTGCAGAAAACAGACACACCCACCACCTAAACACCCAAGCAGAAGCGATCTACCCAAACTCAGGCTTTGGAGTGGCCCTTCAGACTCTGAGCACAGAATGAACAGGATACAGCTTGTCCCACCCAGGGGAGCAGTGGCAAAAAGAGGACACGTGACTGGGCCCCTCACTCCTAGAAAGAGCTTGAGGGGCTGGAGCGTGGCCAGAGAAGGGCAACGGAGCTGCTGGGGAAGGGTCTAGAGGCCAAGTGTGGGGAGGAGCAGCTGAGGGAGCTGGGGGTGCTGAGCCTGGAGCAAAGGAGGCTCAGGGGAGACCTTCTAGCTCTGACACCTCCTGACAGGAGCCTGGAGCCGGGGGGGGTTGGGCTCTTCTCCAAGGGAACAAACAACAGGAGAAGAGGAAACAGCCTCAAGTTGCCCCAGGGGAGGTTTCAGTTGTCTCTGAGGAACAATTTCTTGCCCTGGAGGGTTGCCCAGGGCTGTGCCAGGCTGCCCAGGGCAGTGGTGGAGTCCCCACCCCTGGAGGGGTTCCCAAGCTGTGGAGATGTGGGGTGAGGGACACGGGGCAGTGGGGACCTGGCCATGCTGGGTTAATAATGCAGTTGGAGACTCAATGATCTTAAACGTTTCTTCCAACCTAAACAACTCCATGATTCTGTGACTCAAGCCCCAGAAGTGCCTCTTCGTCCCTAATCACTACAGAGGGCACCCAGACCACTAGTTCAGATCCCTTAGTTAGCAGAGTTTAACCTCTGCCGTGCCCCTTTCACCTCCTCTCTCTCACTCAGTGTTTCTCTGATGTATCTGATGAACTACGCACACACACCACACACAGAACCCAACATTTTCTTCTGTCCCAGTGAGTTTCAGTGGTGCAGACCAAGCCAACATCAGTTCCCTGAGGAAGTGCAAGTCAAGAGGCCTGCTGTTAACTTGAATTTCTTACCTTTGTCCCAGGCTTCAGTCCTTCCAATTGTTTGGGCTTCCGGAAAGTTTTGTGGTGCTGCAGCTTGTGTTCAATTTTATCCTTGGCAAATAGGAACTGGAGTCTACACTTGTTGCAATGATAAACACTCTTCTTCTAAAGCAAATGCAGACGAAGTATATTTCATTTGAGAGAAAGAGAAGTCACAAGACAGCAGGGGTTTTGTTTAAAAAAAGCAAAAGATAGAACAAAGGTATCCTCGCTTTAATTTAGTATATCAAATTCCCACCCCAACAGGCCCATATTCTGGGTGTTTTGGTTTTAATGGTTTGGTTATTTAAAACTGTCAAGATCTGAGAGACACCAGACCTGGAAGTGTGACAGAAGAAGCCTTGCCTGGCTTGTTTAAGCCAAAGTAAGGCATGGGAGCAGGGCAGTGCGTGGGGCAACATCCCTCCAAGGGCTGCCTCGACTCTGCCCTGAGAAGGACTTTGGGGCAGACCACTCCAGGCACTTGGTGAGAGCACTCCAGTTCCATGTTCCAAAAGCACACTTCAGCTACACCCACTTCAAGTATGTTGTCAACAGAGCCAACGTGTATGGCAACGGAGCACTAAGCTCCAAAAATGACATTCAGTGGTGGGCACAAGGTATTCTTGACTCATTTATTACCTGGAGATAAAAACAACTAAGCCCCAAATGAGCACGGAGCCCACTGCTGGTTGATATCACACAAAGGAAACGCATCCATCAGAAGCTGCCTTTTTCTGCTCAGTACCAGCCTGTGCTCCTCCTGCAGGGGTCACTCCTCTTCTCCCCAACACAACCCCTGCCACGGGGCCGGGATGCCAGCCCGTGAATCCCGTTTGGCACAGAGGGAACCCAGCAGCCCCCGAGCACCCTTTTCCAACCCAGTTTTCTTTCTTTGTGGTTTTATTCCAGCCCTGGCACGTACCTGGTGCCTCATGAAGTGCTGCTGGAAGGCGTTGCCGTTCTTGAAGACCTTGAGGCAGTAGGGGCAGAGCAGGTGCCGCGTGTCCTCGTGGAGCATTCGGAAGTGGCTGTCCACTTCAGAGTAGAGCGATGACCGGTACTGACACACCTACAGCAGCAGAGAAACGCCAGACAGGGACAGAACAGCGGCACCCACCTCACACCCGCCAGGGAGATCAGCCAGAGACCTCCACAGCAGCACCCTGCTCCCCAGAGATCACTGCAGTTTAGCAACTGGGTCCTAAAGGACCTTCTGGCTTATTCCAGCTGCAAGACACTGCGCTGAGCAGCATAGCCTCAGAATAGTTTGGAGAAATAGATTTGAAACTACTTGTATAAAAACAAAGTAGTGACAATTCAAGCTCCAGATCCAAGAAAAAAAAGAAATAAAAAGGAGATACAGTCAATACAAAGCTGTTGGAATGTATTAAAGAGAAATTTCTTTGGGGCCTATGTAAAAATGCAGAATTTGGAACATAATCTGTTTTAGTGTAAGATATTATAGAAGTTTCTTTTCTGTTTTTAACTTTTGGAGGGGCACTGTTAGGACCTCAGGGTGCAGATGACACATTCGGAATGGATGCAAGTGCAAATCTCATGGCAACAAGAGTGTCAAGAGAAGGTATCACACAAGCAACATAATCTCATCTGCTCCAGAGTGACAACTTCTCTTCATGGCACAGCAATTTGCCTGCAGGAGACAATTAGTCTCTGAATGCCACTGGCTCTCAACAAACGTCCATCAAGCTGATCCAGCTTCAGAGTGCTGGGAACCAGTGGAAAACATTCAGCAGCTCCTGCTGCCTTCACAGCCACTGAAAAAAACCACCCCAAAACCACAACGGGCTCCACAGCATTGTTCATGGCCCAAGTCTGGTCTGGACCACAATGAGTCATATGCTTTGCTAGAAAGGCCAGGTCTCCTTTTATTCTCTAGTATTAATTTATGAAGTCCAGCCCCTAAACCACTTTTAGTACCTGACAGACGTAGGGCATCTCCCCAGGCTTGTGAGTGTCCTTCATGTGCTGCAGGAACATTGGCTCGCTCTCAAACGCCCACTCGCAGATCTTACACTTTGCTGCAAGAGAAAGGAAAAGCAGGTAACAAAAAAAAGCCATTAAAAGTTTATTTGGTGATGACTGTTCCTTAAAACAAAACAAAACACACTCCCAAAAAACTAGATTTGAATTGGGTTGACTACAAAATACATTCTGAGATGTTTCCAAAAGGCAGCAAAAATTCCCTTAAGCAAAATGGTGGGTACAAGATGTCCCAATGAGGAAACTTCAAGTGATTTCAAACCAGACGTCAATCTCATGATACAAATTAAATTCTACCATGACATCATTGTTGAACTCAACCATTAAAATACTTTTGATGGTAATTTTGCAGGAATGTAATCGAGATGGGACTTTGCTGGTAGCCTACAACCCCAATGCCTGGAGGAGTGAGGCAGGACTGACACCCCTTTCTCAACAGACCTGCACTTAACACAAGACAGAAACCCTCCTGAACCTCAACAAGCAGCAACATCAACGCACTTGTTGACTCGTAGGGACTGTGGACATTCTCCAGGTGACACTGTAGCTGGAAGGGAGTGGAAAACTGTCTGTAGCAATGCTGACAGATGGTGTGGACATCCACCTCTCCATTCTGCTGATCCAGTTCCACGTGGTGCTTCATGTGATTCATAAATCTTATGGGGGCAAAGAGAGAATGTTCATTTGAACAGAAACCCAAACCTTTTGCACTTGTAACCCCGAAGTTTTTTTAACAGCATTAAGATTCTTGCTCATCCCACCAGAAGTCTCCTATCCAGCAACCTACTACTCCCTAACTCCAGGGGAGGTGAGAGAACAGATTCTGCAGTACAGAGGCTGTCCCACTTGCTTTGGAGCACTTCTGACCCCAGGAGCGTGTTCAACCATTGACGACACAACATTTTAACTTCTAAGAGAAATCAGGGGTCCAGCTATCATGGCACAACACCCTGATGCCTTGCTCAGAAGAATACAGTATTTCTTGGAGATATTTTCTCCCTCTATTGAAAAGCATTGAATAAAGATGAGAAGAGCAGTTCTTCAAGCACTAATTCCTTCTATCTGCTGAGACCAGTGAGGAGCACATGCAACCTCTCTGCTGAGGAATATAAACACAATTATTCTAACCACACAATCTCCTGACAATTTTTGCCCTGGAGGACCTACCCATGTGACAATAGGCAATCTCCCCATTCTGTGCTTCAGTTCTGATCTCAGGCTACAACACGGGAAAGCTGCAAGGCCTGAGAGACTGATGCCTACAACTCATTTTTACTTCTGTATGTTTGAGGTATTCAGGATGCTGCTGCTGACTGGTTTTTTGGTACACCACCTTCACTCCCTTACCTTATGTTGTTCTTTAGCCTCTTGGTGCAGTGTGGACACCTGAAGGACGTAGGAATCTTGGGGAAGCTCAGCAGCTGGTTTGATTTGCCACCATCTCTGCCATAGTAGAAATCATCCACTAACATGATGAGCTTACTGTGGGTTGAGTCAACTACATTTTCACTTGGCTCTGGAGCTTTAGCAGGTGGGGACAGTGCAGGGATAGGAGTAGAAGAGGGTGGTGAAGCAACAGCTGTAGTTTTTTCTGGAGATGGAGGCTTTGCAGATTGAATATTTGGTTCAGATTCTGGAGATTTTCTTTTCCTGAGGGATTTGACCATTTCAGGGCAGCAGTACTAAAATAAAAAACCAAAACCAGAACACAAAAAAACCCAGACATTAAACTGTATTTAGGAAGAACTATTAAACAAAGACTAACCAGTACTAAGAAAAGACAGAGGAACTCCAGGAAAGAGCAATCCAGAGTCAATATCCAATTCTCTGTTTCCACTGTTTACTGATAAAGATTAGAAAATAAACACATCCCCTGGTACCAACAGGATGTAAAACTGAGGGCCTGCCTCCTTCCAGTGAAGGATGCTGTGGAAGGTCTTCCAAAGGCCTCCACCTTTTTCCTAGTCATATTCCTCCCTTCCACAGAATTCCCTGATCTGGGCTGGGGGAACTCTTCTCGCATGCCACCATCATGACCTGTTATCCACTAACTGCTCATCTCAGAACAGTTACTTACACACATATGTCCTCTTAAAGCTTCAGTGACTCGAAACTGAGCGTCACATCTTGGGCAGACCTTCCTGCCACCATCTTGCAAGTCAAATGTGGGAATAGGAGATGAACTGACTGTAATGGGAAAAACACAAAACAAACCAAGAAAAATAGAATCCTTATGCTTCATCTTAAGTCCAGGCAATCTTTTTGGCATATTGAAATACTTTCATTTCAAGAGTTGCATTTTTAACTGCTAAGTAGACTAGAAAAGGCACGAAACATGCAAAAGTGTACAAACTTCTGACACTCTATGAAAAAATACACCCCCTGTAGCTAGACTAAGGAGTGTCTTGAAATTAGACTTAAAAGAAGGAGAAAAGATCAGTTCAACTCATCTCCCCTTTTTCTTTAATCTTTTGTTTGCTTTGGTTTTCCATAGGACTACAACGACCCATCTTGGCCCCCAGATGCAGCATGAAACAAAATCCAGGTGACACGAGATGTACATGAAATCAACTTTTGGACTCCCAAACACCTTAGGAAAGTGCTGTTTGCCAGAAGAGAAGCAAAGATTTTATCCTTTGGCCTCCTCGTGTAGGAAAAAAATCAGGCGTGTATTTCACACACGCACACCGATCGCTTTGACTACAGAACCACGGGTGTGAGTATCTGCTAACAGCCACTGGATGAAAAGGTCCAGAGCAAGATGAAGCCATTAACAGCAGAGCTGTTCAGGTGTTTATCCCCATTGAACTCCTGTTCACTCCAGCAAGTCCAGGTGTGGACCCCCCGAGCGAAGGTGGCTGCTCCAGACTGTACCTTTTAAGGACGACGACGACGACTCTGAGACACTCGATCTCTGGGACCCGTGCACGGGGCTGCTGTTGGAAACCACCAGTGGGCCAGGGCTCTGTCCTAACGAAGGAATGGTGTTCAGTGTATTCACTAGCTTAGCAACCTCATTGCTGTTCTCACCAGTCACTCCAGGCCTCTTTACAGTCACAAAGCTCGCCATACTCACTGCCAAGGGAAGGGATAATACAAGAACACTAATAAGGAATCAGTAAGAGCTGATCCACGGTGCGAATCCCACCCCCACCTAAGTATGTCTTGCCTCCTGCTCTTCTACCTCGAGCCTTCACCGGAGGTGACTCAGCCATCCATTACCCTGGTCAGTAATGTGAAGCCTGGCAAGACTGGGAAAGTGAATTTCCCTAACCTTCCAGATCACGCCCCAAGAGATGAGCCAAGTCCCACGATGAGCTAACCAGGACACTGATGGTCACAGAAGTTATCTGTGCTCCTTTTCTAAATTCAGCTGTATATGAGTACTGCCACTTAAAAGCTGAAACCAACCCGACTCCTTGCTGCATGAAGAAGCATTTTTCCCCTTTTAAATGGTTACTATTCTTGAGCAATCATTTCACTCATTAATTCAGTCAACACTCAAAACAAACAAAAGCCACGCAGTTATTTTCTGCTTGTGTTCACCAGCTACTTAACTTCACCTTTCAATACAGCCAAGTGAATATTTTTCACCTTTGGGGACTTCTAATTGATCATCTTAGAACATACTACAAACCAAAATTTAACTAGTTCTCAAACCAAACTGGCCATGATGACAGGACTGCCCTCATTTTCCAGGCTGCTAAGAGAGGTGAAGCGTGAGCCAGTGACAGAGGCAGAAACAGAACTCAGGAGCTGACTCAACTTCTGTCTTTTAGCTGTGCACCATGCATTTGAAGATCAGGTTACAGACAGTGTTAGACATTCAAGTCCCCTCGCTGTTCCATGACAAGTCTTACCTAATTTGGGGTTAGTGGCTTGGGTGGACTGCCCTGGCTGCTGCACGGCTAGCTGTCCGAGCGCCGTCGGCTGTGTGGCGGTGGGAGTCGTGGAGGTGCTGGGAGTGGACTTACTCTGCTGGGGTGCCTGGGACTGTGGCACCGTGCTCCTGATGGTGAGCGTGGCCGGGATGACCGTGGTGAAGGTGTTGGCGGCGGGGCGGACAGGCAGGGGAGCACCTGGCCTCACCTGGGCCGTCTGGGAGAACACCTGAGGAACGCCAACGGCCGGTTTAACAAACTGGGTACCTGGGGCTTCAAAAACAAACAGACAAACAAGGCAGATCAGGTGAACGAATTCCATTTCCTCAACAGTAACCTACTTGCCAGCACAGCTGAGCTCCCCAAACTCCCAGCAGTTTCTGTGGAAGTTTTAGGAGTTCAGCATTAATTTTTCTTCAAGTCAGACCAAAACTCAACACGGATGCTGACAGTGTGAAGATGATATTTACAACTGACCACTGCAAAATGACAAGTGGAATTACAGCCACAGACAAATCTCACCTACCACAGAACTGAACCCCACCCTCTTCAGAGCTACTAGACATGCATATGAAATACAGATTCCAAATATATATTGACTTTTTTTTAAATCTCTGGTACTCTAAAAAGGAGCACAACAGTTGTTTTGGCTTTTTTCAGTCCTCACCTGGGACGAGTGTGATAGGTCTGACTGTCTGACCTTGCTGTACATTCAGAACAATCCCAACTTGGTTCATTGTGTTTTGAACAGGCCGCACGTTCCTCACGGGAAATCCCTGCAGTCAGACAGTACCATTACCATTAACATGCTGAGTGTACCTGAGGGATTTTCAATATAAGCTTTCTACCCTAAAAATCAAATAAACAAAACAGAAAAACCCCATCCCACAGTGCTGGATTGAACTCTGGGGTCATAAGGTTCTCGGCTAGCACCTTACCCAGCAGCAGAGTAAGTCCCTTAGGCTCTACAGCATTCTGATACACAGCCTCCACCCTCAGCCTCTCTTCCCTTAAGCACCCACAGAAACCTTCTCCCAGGTCTCAAATGCTTCAAGAAGCCAACGGACATTAAAAAAACAAAACAAAACAAAACCATCTGCATGTTTCCCAGGAAAATAAAACAAAGTAGTAAAGTATTCAGCAAGGTCAAATTCATGACGGGTGGGCAGACCCACCCTCAGCAGGGAGTCAGGCCCCACTGGGAAGGCTACAAGGGAGAGCCAGCATGAAGTCCCACCAGACCTGTGCTGGCTCCACAGGACCCGCTGGGTTGTGGAATGTGGCCAATTTTTCTCAACTGCAAAATGAGTAGGAAAATGAGCTACTTCCAAACAAAGCTATTTTTAAACCTACATAAATTAAAAAAAAAAGAAAACAAAACCCCAACAGATTCCAGCTCCAACGTAACACCTGGTAAGGCACAGGAGAAAAACCAGAACGTGTGTCCGACCAATCCCGCCCTGGAGGAGTGCAGCAGCTCTGCCTCGGCCAGCCTGGCTGGCAGGGCCCTCACCTGGGTGGTGATGAAGATGGGCTGGCTGGCCACCGGCGAGCTCGTGACGTGGTTGGCGTTCTGCATGATCTGCACGGGGCGCAGCACCGGCTGGGCGACCACCGCGCCCAGCCCC